TCATGTATTTTGAAGCTCTGTTATTAGGGCCATAAACCTTTATGATAGCTATGTCTTCCTGATGAACCCTTCATCATTGTGAAATGTTATTTGAAATCTATTTTATCTGACATTAAGATAGCCTCTCTAGTATTCTTATGTTTACTGGTTGCATGGTATGTCTTTTTCAATCTGTGCCTTTATTTACAGTACACGAGGTCTGACAATTACGTTCACGAACTTGCCACCATGTGCTTATATTGGAAGCACTGTACAAACAGCTCATTAAGGTTTCATAACCTTGTTATATCAGTGTCTCACAGCTGTGTTTGTGTCGACATGTGGCAGTGTCTTGCTGAGTGGCGTTCATTATTGTTGTTGTGTGTCTTGGTGTGCCATTGCGAGACTGTCTGAGCTTGAATTAGAGCAACAAACAAAAATTAAATTTCTTGTTAAACTTGGCAAGAGTGGAAGTGAAATCAGGGACATGTTAGTCCAGGTTTATGGGGATAATGCCATGAAGAAAACGGCAGTGTACAAATGGATTAAATATTTTTCTGAGGGGGAGAGAATGCGTCATTGATGAAGAGAGGTCAGGACGGCCAGTGACGAGTAGAACTGATGAAAGCATTGCAAAAATTCATCAAATTGTGCATCAAAATCATCAGCTGACTGTGAGAAGCATAGCAGACCAAGTAAACATGGATAGAGAAACAGATAGGAAAATCTTAACTGGAAATCTGGGCATGAGAAAGGTGTGTGCGAAAATGGTCCTGAAGGAGCTCACCGATGAACAAAAGCACAGGAGAATCGAAGTTTGCCAAGACCTTTTGGAGAGGCAAGACAGTGTATTGGGCTGTGTTATCACTGGTGATGAATACATGGGTGTACCAATACGACCCTGAAACAAAGTATCGAAGTGCACAACGGAAGTCAGCCAATTCTCCACGACCAAAAAAGTTCCATCAGTCCAAATCAAGAGTCAAAATGATGTTGTAACCTTTTTTGATATCAGAGGGATTATTCATTATGGATTTGTACCAACTGGTCAAACAGTTAACCAAGTTTACTATTTGGAAGCGCTGAAAAGGCTGCATGAAAAAGTTAGACGAAAATGATCTGAACTTTGTGCCAACAGTTCATGGCTCTTGCATCACAACAATGCACCAGCTCACACGGCACTGCCTGTGAAGGAGTTTTAGCCAGTAAACAAAAACAAATAACTGTATTGGAACACCCTCCCTACTCACTTGATCTGGCCCCCAATGGCTTCTTTCTTTACCTGAAGATAAAGGAAATATCGAAAGGAAGACATTTTGATGACATTCAGGACATCAAGGGTAATATGATGATAGCTCTGATGGCCATTCCAGAAAAAGCGTTCCAAAATTGTTTTGAAGGGTGGACTAGGTGCTGGAGTCAGCATATAGCTTCCCAAGGGAAGCACTTCAAAGGTGACTGTAGTGATATTCAGCAATGTGGTATGTAGCACTTTTTCTAGAATGAATTCACGAACTTAATTGTCAGACCTCATACGAATATGTAAATTTTCTGTTTCCTTTGGTGTTAGTTTTGATAAGTTTGGTAAGTTCTGTTTCTTCCTTTCATCCAAATTTTCACAATTTTTGGCTTAGCAATTATTATGTCCTATATATATATATATATTTTTGTGTGTATGTGTTTGCCTCTTCTCTTAGTTTCCCTTTTTTATCAGTTTTGCCAGGGGTTTTGCATGTTTTCATGTTTTGTTAATTCGTTTTGTAAAGTTTTCTGTTATTTTTATAAATTTTTACAATAGGTTTTTGATATCTGATTAGCAGCCTCTCTTCCTTCCTAATACATGTATTTAAGTCCCTAAAGCATGGCTTTAGGTATATTCCATATGCTTGATATGTAATTATTACTCATTATTATTTACCTCAATTTATTTTCTAATCTCCATTGTGAGTTCTTTAAAGCATATTCTTTACCTTCCAAACATTTAGGAATTTTATCCTTATATTTTTGTTATTTTTAGTTTTTTGCATTGTGATCAAAGAACATATTGTATATGATTTTTGTCTGTTGAAATTTGCTTTATGATCTGGCATGTCAACTTTGGTAAATATTTCATGTGATACTGGAGTGCTCCAAAGAATTTCAGAAGGTTAGTCTATGTTCTATGGACTACAGTAAACCCTTAGACTGCATCGATCATGAAAAGCTATGAGCTGCTCTGAAAGAAATGGGCGTGCCTTAGCACTTGATTGTCCTGATGTATAACCTGTATTGTGGAGAGGAAGCCACTGTCAGGACAGACTATGGAGAGAGAGAATGGTTTCCTATAGGCAAAGGTGTCGGGCTATGGTGTATTTTAACTCCCTATTTAGTCTGTATGCAGAACATACAAAAAGCTGGGTTAGACTCAGATGAAGGAGGTGAAAACTTATGGGAGAAGTATCAATAACTTAAGCTATGCAGATAACACCATCTTACTGGCAGAAAGTAGCAATGATTTGAAACGACTTCTGATAGAAGTAAAAGAAGAAAATGCTAAAGCAGGACTGCATTTGAACATCAAGAAGACAAAAATCATGACTATAGAAGAATACACGATGAAGACATTGAAATTGTTAAAGAGTTTGCTTACCTTGGTTCAGTCACCAATTCAAATGGAGACTGCAGCCAAGAAATCCAAAGAAGGTGGACTCAGAAGGGCAGCAATGAAAAAATTAGGGAAGATCACCAAGAGCAAAGGCGTGTCATTAGCGAAGATCATCCACACCCCTTGTACTCTGTATGGACGTGAAAGTTGGACAGTGAAGAAGGCTGATAGGAAAAAAATTGGTTCACTTGAAATACGGTGTTGGAGGAGAGCCCTGTGGATACCCTGGACTGCCAGCAAGATGAACAAGTGGGTCCTAGAGTAAATTAAGCCTGAAACATCGATGGAGGCAGAAATGACAAAACTGAAAAAGTTGTCCTACTTCAGGCACATCATGAGAAGGCAGGGTTTTTGAAAAAGACAATACTGTTGGGAAAAACAGGAGGCAGCAGGAAAAGAGGAAGTCCTAATATGAAATGGATTGACTCCATAAAAGAATCCGTAGGCATGATTCTACAGGAGCGGGGCTGCTGACGACAGACACTGTGGACGTCACTCATTCATTGGGTCACCAGGAGTCAGAGCTGACTCAGCGGCACATAATACACAAATTTTAAATGAAACTACGTTTTTCAGCAGTGTGCAGTGTTCTATCAAATGTTCATTAAGTCAAGTTTGCTGACCCTGTTATTTAAATAGTCTGTATCTTTATTGATTGTTTATTCTTACTGAGTTATTTCAAAATCTACCATTGTGCTTGTGGATTTGTTTACCTTTATTTCTTGCATTATTCTTCTAGTAATTACCCCAAGAGATTACAATAGACATCCTTGATGTGTCAAAATCGAATGTTAATTAGTACTTTTATTTCCTCCTGGACAGCATAAGGACCTCAGAATATCATAACTACATGTGTGCCCTTTCTGACTCACATTTGTTGTCATATTTTAATCCTTCAGTTATTTGATCCCAACAAAATAATTAATTATTGTTTCATAATGTCTATACATTTTTATTTTTTATAGACATCATTTTTGTTGCTCTTAATCTTTCCCTGCATCACTGAGTGTCTGTCTACATAGGATCATTTTCCTTGTGCCTGGAAACATCCTTTAGTTATTATTATTTTTTAGTGTGGCTCTTTTGGGGATGAATTGGCTCAGTTTTTGTTTGTCCAAAAATATCTTTATCTTTATTCTTGAATGATATTTTCACTGATTATAAAACTAGATTGCCTTTATTTTCTTCAGCACTTTCAAAGTATCATTCTATTGCAGTGTCTTCCATGGTTTCGGCCACAAGGTCAGTTATTTGTCAAATTGTGGCTTTTTTATAGGTCATCTGTGTTTTTTCCTCTGGATGCTCTTTAGATTTTTTTTTAATGTCTCAACTTTTGAGTACTTTTTTATGAAGCACATACTTGTGGTTTTTAAAATTTTTATTTATTTAATTTTTGGCTTGATGTTCTTAGTGGACCTGGAATATGTGGCTTGATTTTTTTTTTTTTGTCATGTCAGTTTTTAAAGTTTTCATCCTTTATCTCTTCAAATACTTCTCCTGCAGCATTTTTTTTCTTCCATCACTTGGGATTCATATTATAGGTATTCACACCCATTGCTAAAAGTACTCTTTTCCTATAGCTTTACTAGTTCTCTCATTTTCTCTTTAGGTTTTAATATTTTTATAATTTACTTTTCTAAAGTAATGATCAATTATTATCCCTAATATGAATATCTCATACTTTTCCCCTCAAATCTTTAAAACAACTCTGCCGGTACTATTTTTGCCACTTTCACATTTTTACATATTTTTACATTTATTCAAAGAGGTTAACTAACCGGCCCAAGTTTACATAGGTGCCAAGCAACTAAGGCTAAAATTTGAACAAAAGTCCAGTTGATTTAACTTTTCTTTCCCTTCATTATATGACATTATATTTCCTTTTTTTTCTATGTCTGTTTGTCTTTTTCACCTTACTTTTGGAATAGCATGTATATTGATGTATTATCTTAGTCTATCTTAAAATAACATTGTCATTCTACCTGTATTTATTGGATAAACAAGTGTACAAATTTGTGAGCCAAGTATTACTCCCTTAATGAGTTTGTTTTTTATAAGGAAAAAAGAATGTGCACAGTTTATTTTAATAAAGAATGTGAAGAGTTAGTTTCCATGGATTGAAACAAGAAGATAATGTCCCAGCTGATGAGATCAAGAAATAATTCATTGAGTAGGTATAACGTATCATGGAAGAAATGGCAAGGTGACAATTTCCTTTTACTGTGTTCAAGATTAACATGTATATTACACATTTGTTTGTTAATACAAATAAAGAAAACCAATACTAGTGTTTGTGGTAGTCATGTAAGCAGTAAAATAATGTCCATCATGATACGTTATACACATTGATTGAAAAAGTTTTTGGTTTTTTTTCCAGGTTATGTCATTTTTGGCCGCAGTTTTGCATAAAAAGGGAACTCGTGAGGATATTGAAAATAACATGCCAGAGTTTTTACTAAGAAGCCTGAAAAAGGAACCCCCTTCTTCTATAGCAAAAAAGGTAAGCTATCTAGAAGTACACAACTCATGAAGTTGGTATTGCAAAAACATATAGAAAATTTTAAGTATCACACAATATAGTATAAATTTAAAACATAAGAATTTAAAATATTTGTTTTGTAGACCTAATTTTTGAAGGATTATCAATTTCATCCTCAAGTTAAATAAGATCGACTCTCAGAATGGCAAAATACAATTTCAATTTGAACTTGTTTTAGGGTTTCAAATTTTGCTTCTTTAGATTTATATGATTTACTTTAATTAATTTATTTGAATATCCATGAATGTGTACTTAAAGTTAGTTGAAGTTCATTATATTGTTTTTATTTATGTGAGAATGAAAAGGAGACAGTTGTAGATATTGGTAGCAGAGGTGCATCATTGATATATAAAGTTGCTTAGTAGACTCCATCCCCAAAATACGAAACAAATTCTTCTTATACAAGGAACGTTGAAGTTGGAATCAGAAAGACTAAGGTCTAGCTAGGTTTGTCTCTGTCTCTGCCCATGTGAATGCTATTCATGTCCATATGTTAAAAGAGTCTCATATATAGGATTGCTGAAAAGTCCAGGTTTACTCTTGGTTATCATTAGAGGCTTCTCAGTGAACATTTTTGAGAGTGTTGGTTTAAGGTATTATTATTGTTTAAATTCTCTTTATTATTTTAATTTAATGCTGAGTGTCAAATTCAATTTGATCCTAAAAAACAATGATTCTTAATGTGTTTTAAGCCTTCAAGAGTTCAAGTACTGTTTTTAGCCCTGGATTCAGTTGTTCTTTGCTTCTAAATGTCAGTACAGAGATTACATGTATTTTATATATCACTTGTGGCAACTAGTAGACAGAGGAGAGAGAAAAAAATAGGTAAAATAATACTTTAAATATTTTAAAATATTTAAAATATTTTAGAAAGAACAAAAATGGGAGAAGAGAGAAGTAAAGACAGTCATTTGATGGTGTGATGAATATGCTAGTAACTACCTTAGTTGACAACAATGCCTGCCTCTCTTTTCTTCCTTTTTTCCTTCCTGCTGCCCTCCCTCCCGCCCTTCTTTCCTTTCTCTCGCCACACACATAAATTCTTTGCTATAATATGCATTGCTATTTTTCTGCCTCCTTCAGTTAAATTCTTAATTCATTTACTGTATTTTCAGTCTTTTCTTGTATTCTAATAAATTCCACTAGGGCTATAAATGTTCCTTTGAGTACTTACTTTGGCTGCATTCTATAATTTTGGATACATAGTCTTTTCATGATTCTTTTCTAAATTATCCCTCACTTCAGTTTTTGTTCTCCTTTACCCATGTACTATTTAAAAGGAAGTTTTAAATTTTCCAAGTGAATAGATATTATTGGGTGGGGGAGTTCTGGGAGGGCTAACTTTGTTGTTGGTTGCTAGTTTTGTTGCATCAAATAATATAGCCTTGAGGCTGGCTGAATGGCTCAGTTGGTTAAGAGCTCACTCAACAGTGTGAGCTCTGAGCAACAAGGTTGCTGGTTCATTTCCCACATGGGCCCAAACTGAGCGGCCACTGAGCTGCCAACAGGTGGCAGGATGGCTCAAATAAATAAATAAATAAATAAAATTAAAAAAATAATAATATAGCCTTTGCTATTTAATGTGGCTTGTATTATTAAAATTCTTAATACTTGGGTATTTTTTTATTTTATTTTATTTTTTGGTTTATTTGAGCAATTGAATCCTGAGGGAAATGTACTTGTATATATTAAATTTTTGTGCTATGTCTTTCAGCTTTTTAATTTCTTCTTGTGTTTGTACCAGTTTTTGCTTGTTTAACAACTTCAGTTAATTGTTTCATAAATTTTGTGTGCTTGTATATTGCCCTCATGCTGGATTGGTATTTATCTGCATGTAGAATTCTAAGTTCAGAATTTTCTCTTAAGACTTAACAGAGATGATTTTATTGCAGATGAGGATCCAATGCTGAACTGACTTTTTTCCCTTGCAAAGAAATTTTTTTGTTGTTGGAAAGTGTTTAGGACTTTTTTTTATTCATGAAATTCAGAACTCCCCTCAGCCCCAACACTCACTGTAGAATTCTTCTAAAACAGTTACTGTAGTACTTTGTGTAGGGAGAATGGAGTACTGATGCTAGAATCAGTTTCTCTAAAGATAATTAATTGTTCCTCCTTTAATTAATTACTTTGCCATTTCTTTTCATTGTTTTCTTAATTTCTTTTTCAAGTAGTTCATTGCTAGTATATACAAATACAGCTGATCTTTTATATTGATTTTGTATCCAGTAACTCTACTGAATTTGTTTATTAGTTCTTACATATTTTGGTGGAGTCTTTAGGGTTTTCTATATATATAATATCATGTCATCTACAAAAAGAGACAATTTTACTTATTCCTTATCAATTTGGATGCCTTTATTATTTTTTTTCTTACCTAATTGTTCTGGATAAGCTGTCCAATACTATGTTAAGCGAAAGTGGTGATAATGAGCATCTTTGTCTTGTCCTTGTTCTTTCAAGAAAGATTTCCAGCTTTTCACCGCTACGTATGCTGTTAGCTGTGGATTTGTCATATATAGCATTTTTTTATGTTGAAGTACTTTTCTTCTAATTCCTATTTGTTGAGAGTTTTTTATCATTAAAGGATTTTGAATTTTGTCAAATGCTTTTTTTGCATCATATACCTGTTTTTGAATCTATTGAGATGATCATATAATTTTAATCCTTCATTTTGCTAATGTGATGCATCACATTTATTGTTTTGCATGTGTTAAACTATCTTGCATCCCAGGAATAAATTCCATTTGATCATGGCATATGATCCTTTTAATGTACTGTTGAATTCCATTTGTTAATATTTTTGTTGAGCAATTTTGCACCTATTTTCATCAAGGATATTGGGCTGTACATTTCTTTTCTTGTAATGTCCTTGTTTAGTTTTAGTATCAGGGTAATGCTGGACTCATAAAATTAGTTTGGAAGTATTCCTTCCTCTTTTATTTTTTAGAAGAGTTTGAGAAGGACTGGTATTACTTCTTTAAATGTTTGATAGAATTCACCAGTGAAGTCATCCAGTTCTAGATTTTTCTTTGTTGGGAGATTTTTAGTTCCTGATTCAATCTCTTTACTAGTGGTCAGTCTGTTCAGATTTGTTATTTCTTCATGATTCAGTCTTGGTAGGCTGTACTTTTCTAGGTACTTATCCATTTCTTCTAGGTTATCTAATTTGTTGGCATGTAATTGTTCATAGTAGTTTCTTATGATTCTTTGTATTTCTGTGTTATCAGTCATAATGTCTTCTCTTTCATTTCTAGTTTTATTTATTTCAGTCTTCTTTCTTTTCTCTTAGTCTAGCTAAAGGTTTGTCAATTTTGTTTATCTTTTAAAAAAGCAGCTCTGAGTTTCATTGACCTTTTCTATTGTCTTTCTAGCCTCTGTTTCATTTATTTCCCACCCTGACTTTTGTTATTTCCTTCTTTCTGCTAACTTTGGGTTTAATTTGTCCTTTTTCTAGTTTCTGGAGTTGTAAAGTTAGGTTATTTATTTGAAATATATCTTTTGTCTTAATGTGAGTCTTTATGTCTGTGAACTTCCCTCTTAGAACTGCTTTTGCTGCACCACAAAAGTTTTGGTGTGTTTTTTTCATTTTTTCATTTGTCTCAAGATATTTTATTTCCCTTTGACCCACTTGTTGTGGGAGCAAATTGTCTAATCTCCATATATTTTTGAATTTTTCAGTTTTTCTCTTGTAATTGGTTTCTAGTTTCATACAATTGTGGTCAGAAAAGATGTTTGATATGATTTCAGTTTTCTTAAATTTATTAAGACTTGTTTTGTAACCTAACTTATTATCTGTCCTGGTGGATATTCCTTGTGCGCTTGAGAAGAATATGTATTCTGCTGCTAAGGAATGGAATGGACTATATATATATATATATATATATATATATATATATATATATATATATATATGTCAGTTCTATATGTCCTAATGTATAATTTAAGTCCACTGTTTTCTTATTGATTTTCTGTATGGATGATCTCCTATTGTTGAAAGTGGGGAATCGAAGTCCTCTACTATTATTGTAGTGCTATCATTTTCTCTCTTCAAGTTTATTATTCTTTGCTTTATATATTTAGGTGTTCTGATGTTGAGTGCATAAATACTTACAATTGTTATATCCTCGATGATATAATTATCTAATGACCTTTTTGTCTCTCGTTATAGTGTTTGGTTTAAAGTCTATTTTTTCTGATGTAAATATAGGTAATCCTGCTTTCTTTTGATTTCCATTTGCATGGAATATCTTTTTCCATCCCTTCACTTTCATTCTATATATCTTGAAAGCTGATGTAAGTCTCAGGCAGGCAGCATATAATTGGGTCTTTTTTCTGATCCAGTCCTTTCAGCTGCCTTAGCTCTTTTGAGGTGTTTTTTGTTGTTGTTATTGTTGTTTTGTTTGTTGTTGTTAACATTTTTAGGTTCCCTCAACGAAAACTGACTTTTTGTTTTTGAAGTGTTCCCTTACATAGGTATAGGATGAATTTCTCAGTTCTTCAAGTATGCCAGTTCTCGTGTGCTCTCACACTGTTTTGACTGGCCAGGCATTTCACTACTATTATTGGTTTATTTTTATTTTTGTTATTTCATTGGCATCAATAAATAAAAAAATAGTCAATCATTTGAACTGCTCCATGAAGAAAGTTTTTAATGAGATTACCAGTGACACCTTACAGTATATCCCAGAAGTAAATCAAAACAAAAATTATAATTTTGTGTGGTGAAATTCTTAAAAGAAAAATTTATATTGATCCATTTAACACTTTGTGCATTTTTCAAAGACAGTCTAGAGAAGAAATAAATTCCTTTATATTTATTATGCTAGTGCCATAATTGCACTGGAGTCCTATAAAATTAATGTTGAAACTCCTTGAAAATATCCTCTTAATTAATTAAATTTATAAATTAAGGGATGGTAGGTTTGTGGTATGTGTGTGTGATATGATACGTCTCATATACA